GCGGCGCGGCCGGGCAGCGGTCCCCAAATTGGGTGTTTTAGCGCACAGGCCACAGTCACACCCAGCCAGCTTGGCGCATTAACCATACCTTGGCCTGAGCCAAATAGCAAAAGACGAAATTTTACTTGAAGTGTTGCTTAGGTTCTTAACTTAAGGGCATATAAGTTAATTCCATATAACACAAGGTTTGAATTTCTTGACCACTACCAGACGACTGTGCAAAATGCTGAGCGAGCCTTTGGGCAGCGCTGTTCAGTCACCAGATTTGGTTTGAAGTCGCAACGCCGTTCGACTGTCCTAATGAAGTGTTATAAAAATGGATTATATGGAAAATGTCGAGACCACATGCATCATCTGAGCCTCAACGGAACATTGAGGAGTGCTCCTTATTGGATAAGAACGCTTCTTTCTAGAGATAAAAATTCATTAGAATCGGGTCTCTTCTTACATGCAGCTCAATATTTGCATACTCAGTCGCTTTCATTCATACACGAGTCACAGTTGCTTGAATGTGTGTGCAGATAAGGTGACACAGTCAGTGCTTTGGATTTTTTTTTGGGAGGTCTATGATTCGGCTTAAGTAAATGTAGACGGTGCCGCCTATACCGCTGTAGGGTATTTGACGGTGCATCATACACAGCTATATTACATCGTCCCGTCTGCACCGTCAAACGCCCAATACGGCGACGGTCAATCCAGGTGTTGTGTAGGTGCTATCTTAGAATCCTGTTATCTACCGCTATATACTAAGACAGACAAAATAACACATCTTCACCCAAATGTGTTGCAATGAATGCTAGACAGGCAAGCCTTCATCCAAGCGTGCTTCCTTGTTCGTTTCAATGCATTTGTCCATTTGTCCATACATCTGCCATTTAACTGATACTCGAGCTGTCTACTGTTGTATTCATGCAATCATTTATTACATAGATTACAATGCGTTAATTAATGAGCCTACGTAGCAGCAGTGGGGCATTTTGTCTTTTCTCGAGATCTTGAAGTCATTGATTCATAGGCTATGTAGTCTAAAGGAGTAGTGATGCGTTTTATTATAACCATTTAACGACTTGACATCAGCCATTAAAGCCCTTATGGTGTATCTATGTATCATCATATGTGTATCTATGCATCATCATGGTGTGACCGGTGTCTGCATCTTGCCTCTTTATCAAGCTGCCACGTTTCATATCAAAACACCCGTTCCAGTACCCCTGGCTGTGTATTTATGGCTACTACAAAGTACTGCACATTCAGTACAACAGTGACCCCGGTCAGTCGGCCATTGCACAGTGTGGCCGAACACCAGTTTAGCGCGAATTTAATCCCAGCGCCGCTCGGATCCACTGGAAATGGTTCTCTGGTTCCAAAACTGACACTTACCCCTCGCCGGACTTATTGGTTTTCAAAATACGCGCCGGCCGAAGGGGGGAGGGGGGTTGGTACGACCCCAGTCGCTGTTTCGCCCCTGATGGTGCTAGAGCCCCGCGGAAAAAAACGAGCGTGTGCGCCGTTACGAGACGCAGCGACTGGTATCCGATTTTAAGGTCTCAGGCCAGCCTGTGACCTCTGAGGTCAGGTCAAGTGAACTAGGCGCGGATTCATTTTTTATTAATAACTTCGCGAAAAAATGCCGCAGAGCCGCAATTTTGGTATCATCATGTTCGCCTCACTCAGGCGCGTCGAATGGTATACTTTTGTTCGGCTGAAGTTAACTTAAGGTGTTGACCGTGGGTCAAGGTCAGGTCAGAGTCCTCCAGATCACGAAGTTGGTTGAAGGAGGTCATGTTGCATATCATTCGATTCGGCAAGTCTTCCTGAGTCCATTGGTGGCTTTCTCGACTCGCTAGCTCAATTTAATCGGGAGTTATTGACGAAAAACTCTTATTACCCTAGTGACGTCATAAATGACGTCACGTAAGACCAACAATGCATAAGTGAAGCATCGGACCTTGCAAGGAGTGCATGAAATCACGATTTCGTGTGCTTGAGATAGTTTATTAGGCTGGAGCCTGTCCGGCCGCGCCGCCCCCGACCTTGGTCAGGTCACATAGGGCGGCCGACTAGACATGTTCAAAGCTGAGTTGACGGCAAATAGGCAAAAACTGGCAACTGAAACTTGCTCGCTTATGTTCAGAAAGGTGCGGAGAGTTCAGCCATGCCCTATTCGTCATATCCATTTTTATCCATTTTGACATTTTTCAACTTCTTTATTAAATACTATCGTGAGAACGATACACATGCAGGGCTCTTGTTCTAACTCATTAAACTCAAAAACCCTTCATTGAAAAGCTACCATGATAGCAGAAACAGCTTCATCATGAATTGTGCTATCCGGTGATATGCTATTTTCTCATATATCTTCTCGAAACTTCCGTAAAATTTACGTTGAAAACTGGACATATTTATCAGTACCATAGCCCGATTTTAGGAACCGGAGCGTGGGTCTACTTTCGGCAGGGATATAAGTCCTCAAATGGTAAAGTGGCTTAAAAATAAGGTTCTATCCGATAACTTCAGACAATTTCCTACCCACTGATAGGTATAAATAACAGTTTATCGAAAGTCGGGTTTTTGATTAAATTCGCGCTAATCTGGTATTCGGCAAGACCGTGCATTGTCTCCGTCCCGGGACCGCCGCGTCCTCCACATCAGCGCCCGGCGCCCCTTAGCGCGTCATCACACGTCATTACAAATCAGCGTACATCAGTACACATCATTACACGTCAGCGTACATCAGTACACCTCACTGCACCTCAGAGCGCCGCGCGTCAGCCGGCATCTGCGTGCCGCAGCCGTCAGACACGAATGGACAGATAGACGCGTAAGTACACATCACGAGGACATCATTCCGGGATATTAGAGGCGCAGCTTCACCTCCGAACTGGACAGACAGGGGTTGGCGGAGTGAGGGTGATGGTTGAGCTTCATCTCAGTTACATCATGTAATGGTGTAGTGCTTGGATATGACGTAGTGCAAGAAGGTAGGCATTAGCGATAATTGTAATAAAAACACAAGTATGTGGGTATAGGCTCACTAAAGATGATGGAGGAATAGGCTTACTAAAGGCTCACTAAAGCTGCCATTGAAGGAATGACGAGCTCAGCGAGTGGCAATTACGAAATTCACAGAGGAAGACATTGATACTAATATTCCGGCGGCAGTTGTACTCTAACGATGTAAAATAGTCATTTCCTCTCCATATTTGTAAGCACAATAAATCACTGCTACGAACTTGCACAAATTCACTGCTATATACAAACACATTTATCTGCACAGATACCGGTGATTCTCACCACAAAACAATACATGAACAGCCACGATACCTTGCCATGTCAGGTATTTCTCAGAATGCTACGTTTCCAGTAACTAATGCGCTTGAAGCACACATGATCAATACAGCGATAGCGGAAGTGGAAAACTGTGTAGTAAAAGGCCGAGCGAGATAATTTCAAAACTGCATGTTCTCTGCTCGGTAAATTATTTGTATTTCAGGACCGTTTTGGATTTTCACGAAGGACATTAGGCCAGCCACAACTCCGCAACCACTGAATATGAGCTATGTGCTTCCAGCGAAATCCTTCGAAAATGGCCTTTTTCTACAGCATGACCTGGCAGAGATTTTGGCTTCAGTTCTACGGAAGCACGCGGCAACATTGCACGCCACAGACCGAGGAGCGAAAGCGGAAGCAGAAGAACATCTCCTATGGAAATCACTAGCCTTGTAGCCGATTCTTCACACACTGGGTGACAGTTAACGTACTGTTCATACACTGCGGATGACAGTTTACATACCACTTCATACACTGCGTGACAGTTAACCCTATTCCTGGCGGGCTCCGCCGGGACAAGAAACTGGCGGGGGGGGGGGGGCCGATTCGGCCCCCCTTCAGATCTCAAAAACTACACATCGCAGCGACAAACGGTAAACGGCATCGGATACGCACGGTCAAGATCTACAATTTTTACTAAGGTCATTTTCAGGTCAGGTCGAAGATGACGTCACAGGGGTCGAAAAAGTCAAAATGGCGGCGCTAGATATGGAGAGTTTTTCTCGAATAACTTTCGAATTAGTCAAGATAGGAACAAACTAAGGGCATCATCGTGATCCTCTCGTCAATCCGCATCGAATGATATATATGTTGACCTCGAAAGGTCAAGGTCAAAGGTTGACCTCAGGTCACGTGACCTCGAGGTCATCATGTATATCATTCGATGCGTCTTGACGAGCTGAACACAATGAGACCATCCACGCGTCTGTATCTTGTTCCTGTACGGAGTTATTGGCCAAAAACCTTTGGTGACCTTTGATGACGTCACATGACCTCACAGCTGCCCAACAGCAAAACAGACCTCAAGGTAGTGAAGGTTGATCGTATATGAAGTCATGTATGGTATATGGGGCCATTCCGACCCGTTTTAGTGGTAAAAACAGGGAGTTGATTTTCCCCCATTGACTTATAATGGGGAGGTCGCGAAACTGACCTGACCTTAGGTCACCGATATGAAAATTCCGAGATACCGTAAAGTGGGGCTATTTGAGACAGTGGGGCTATTTGAGACAGTATTTAAAATCGCTATAAAATGAAGATCGTTTGATTTTTGTGTGATATTTTTGCTCAGGGAGGTGTGGAATCGAGCAGTAAATCGCCTGAGCAAAAAATCAAGCATAAATTTTAAGTGTTTTTTTTATTTTATAGCAATTTTAAATACTGTCTCAAATAGCCCCACTGTCTCAAATAGCCCCACCTTACGGTATACAAATTGCACATACTGGTACCCTAACTAAAGCCTGAAGAGAAGAAATTGATCGGTCAAAAACTCTAGCTCTGGCGTGATTGCAAACTTTTCTGAGGTAGGGTCACCAAACCGCCTCTGGTGACCTGACCTGAGGTCAGATCAACTCAAAATTTTCAGACATGTTGCGTAGAAGCCTTTTAGGAAAAGTCAGAAAATTTGAGCTTCCTAGCTCAACGCTTTTGGGAGAAATAACCAAAAAACCTCAGGGGGGGGGGCTCCTGAGGCCCCCCCCGCCAGGAATAGGGTTAACATATGCGTGACCGTTAACGTCCGACAGAAATTGCGTTGTAGCACTGTCCTCAGCCGACACAAAGTCCGCAATCACTCACTGTCCACGCACGGGTAGTCACCACATCTCACACTCCATTGGCTGAGCCATCTCCTTGTCCTTGACCCAGTTCGGGTCAGGCTGTCAATCAGGACAAGCCTACGCCCTAATGGAGGGGGAGGTCGTCTCATGGCGACCAACTCGATGAACGAGTCGTCACGCGCGTCACTTTGTCACACGGCCTCGGAACTTCCGGCTAAGGAAGTCGCGAGGCGGGTCGCTGCCATTCCGGACGAGTCCATTTTCCCGCAGGGGAGTCCACTTCCACAATGCTTCCCTCGGCAGCGCGCTGCGTGCTGGAGGGTGTCTGTGTCGACCGCCGCCGCTCTGCTACCTCCCCAGCCGCCGCAGACCGATGAACTCTCCCGTCTCGTCGTCGAATCGGTCGCGGAACTCCTCTGGCGGAGTGTAGGCCTGGCGAGAGTCGACGCTCGCCTCACCGGAGGCGGCCGAGTCCACTGGCGCCGCCTCCTATCATACGTGGGTGTGTGAGTTAGTAAGCCGCTCTCCGTCTACGTGTTTGGCTGGCGTGTAGTACTGAAAACACACGAAACAGTGGGCGTGGTGACACGGCGAGCGCGTCCGGATCGCTCAGCGTTGCCAGAATTACATTGTGAAACTGCTCGAAGTTTGAAATGTTTGCATGTTTGAAATGCAACTCCAGTACGACTGCCTAACACTGAGAGTTCTAATTGAAATTAGTTTGTCTGTCATAAATAGATAGACTTGTCTGCTCGCATTATCCGACCTTTGTATATTCAGAGTGCCTATACAGAGGGTACAGTATTTTCAAACGTGCCCGGTAAAGGCCTGGCTACACTATGCGTTTTCTGCGTGCGTTTTTTGCGTGTTTGCGTGATTTGCGTAATATCGTTCTAGAAGAAAGCTATATTTGATAAAACATTTACATAAGTTTTGTATAAAAGGTAATGCAATTCTTATATTAGCTAAAATTGAACATGGAAAAAAACATTACAAAAACGTAATATCGTTTTTTACTAGCACGATATTACGCAAAACACGCAAACACGCAAAAACGCACGCAGAAAACGCATAGTGTAGCCAGGCCTTAATTCGTGTGTGGGAAGACATCTAACACGTCGAATAACAAATAAAACAATCCCATTCTGAAATATTTCAAGTACTTCTTTTCCTATGTCGGGTCCACTATCACAAATGCAGTGTAAATTTAGCTCTACTATTTGCGATCTCCGATGTGTAATGTAATGTGCTGTTTTTAGATAAACTAGCCTTATCAAACATGTTGCAAATGAGGATTCGATAATGCTTTTCGAAAAGAAATGCAATTAATGTTTTTAACAGTAGTCAGATGAGCTTAAAAAACTATGACCGATGTTATTGTTGTGGTAGGTATTGTTTGATGTTATTGACGGTGGAAATATCTAGCAGAGATTGTTGGTCCCGTCAAACTGTGATAAATGTGTTACAGAGCCGTGTCTCTGACATTGTTTTCAATATAGAGTGGATCTCTATACTGTCCATTGCATAGAATAGGTGATCTAGCAGATTTCATCCATTATGACGTATAATATTTCCTTCCTCACTATTTTTTTTCGCTATAACTTTAACTGTGGACATTTTTCGACAATATAATAGATAACAAGATCCGTGAGAGCAATCGTTGTTGACATAACTGCATTGTGAATAATTCATGTTACAAAACAGCACAACATTTCATGAACGATTACACAGCCTCAACGAACCCAAATCACATATATGCATAATGACTCTCTGGACTATTCAGAACAGCGTGTCGTCGTCCCATCCCAGCCCCCCGAAAAAGACCCCGAACCCGTGTCCCCATTCAAAGGACAGCCCCAGGAAGGGGGCAGCGTGGGGCGAGGGAGGGGCGAAGGGCTAATGAGTCGGAACGCGCGGCCGTATTTACCTTACTGCCGTCGACGTCAGCTGTTCCGGATATGGTCATGCGGGCTCGAGCTTTCATGGCATCCATGTGAGTCGTCTGAGGGGGTGGGGCGGGGGGGGAGTCAATGATGAGGGGTGGGGCAGGGGGTCAATAGTGAGGGGCGGAGCGGGGAGGGGGTCAATGGTGAGGAAGGAGAGAAGGGATCAGCGTAGGAGGGCGAGACAGAGAAAGAGAGAGAGAGAGAGAGGGATTACCGGCGGGAGACGAGGCAGAGGAAAGGGACTAGGGAGGAGTCGGTGGATGGAGGGAGGCAGGAGCCTATACCATTGCCGGCACTTCACATCAGTGGACGGTTAGAAGTGAACGGCGGGACGAAGAATCAGGATCATTGGTTGGGGAAATGTTCAAGTAGAACGTCATACAATGCGCTATTCTAAAAAGCAAGATAAAATTTGCTGAAACCTAGATACGCGAAATGATCTATTAATCTATGCATCTATGTATGTTGTATTAACAGGGTTGTATACGACTCAATCAATAGCAATCAATTCAATCACGACAAATTTGGGAAACCAATCAAATCAATCAAGTCAGAGCAGTTTTCGGGAATTGATTCAATCGACTCAAACGCGACAATGAAAGGAATCAATCAACTCAATCAAACGACTCAAACCAAGATATACATTAGGTTTTTTGCCCCACCAACTTGGAAAAGTGTCCATAGCAGTCTGGTGTACCTACCTACCTACCTACCTACAGAAGAAACAAAAATATTGTCATTTAAAATTATAAATTGCCATGCCATTCAAAGTTTCTATGTAATAAGGAAGGATACCTAGTGATGGACAGGTGGATCACGATATTGAGGTTCAATGGGTAGAATTGGAGCAGAAGTTTCATTTAATGGGTGCAAAATAACCCAGTAGTTGACTTCAACAAACGCCCCTTAACCCAAATCACCACCTTTCACCTAAAAGTTGTCAATTTAATTTTGGCCATATTCCAGCTAAGTCATCAGGCCATCTACCCCATGTAAAGCCCCCGTCTGTCTCTTATGTGAGTTATGCGGAGCTCTTCTGAATTGAACCCTGAACATAATGAACCTAGCTAGGTTACATGCCACACTGACACCATGTTGATATGAAAGTGTTGAAAATGTGCTATAAATTTGACAACTTCATTAGGTATGCTTTATGAAGACAGCAGGAAAGCAGGTAGGTACCTACTTGCCTGCCTAGATGTGTCACTGGCTACCAACAGTACCAACGAAGGTAGATAGGTTATATGTGAAGAATTCAAAACATTTTATTGCAATACAATTTGAAACTGTTAGGACTGGGGGATAGGGATGAGCATTAAAAATATATTTAAAAGGAAATGGAAAGGACAGGGACTCTGGAACCACAGGATAAGTTAAGGACAAAGGAAGAAGAACAAGGAAAATTAAATGCCGTTGGTGCGACTGCGAAAAAAAAACAAAGAAAACGTTTTGCCAAGAAGTATGCTAAGCTTTTATAAATCCTTATTCTTCGTCTTTTGATTTTTTGGTAAGATGACGTCATTGATTATCATGTAGTATGGTAGATCATCATAAAATAAATCGGTTGTACAACACCAATTTCGTTTTAATTATTATTTCAATTGAAATAAAACCACTTAATAATATTCGGTAAAATATTTTAAGGAAAATGAAATATGTTATGCCTAGGCTCTCAGGAGAAAAGGATCAACAAACGTTCTGCTGCAAATTAAACAATGCAGCAAATTAGCTATTAATGTAAACGTAATTAGCGAGACGAAAACGGCGCTTTTGTTTCAGTTATTTTTGTAGGGGTTTCAGATATTTATAGAGTTCAGTGGGTTGTTTCTGAGGAGATGTGGAGATGTGAATTAGTAATTAATCACACTTTATTAGTATATAGGGCCTTGCACTTTATCATCTGGATTAAAAAAAAAATTCCTGCTGAGTGCAGAAAGGTAGGTAGGTGCATCGCCAGGTTCTATCACAGGATTGGAGCAGTTATTGCAGTTGAAAGTCAAAGTTGGCTGTTCATGTTTAGGCCCTGTTCTTTATTTGGCCATCTACTCCATATTGCAGTTGTGATGACAAGCAGTTTTCAGTGTAGTTTTGTGATCTTTGATGTCATCAATTGGTGTCATTATTTTTCGTCAACTAAAACTTATTTCAACTTTCCATTCAATCGACTCAATCATACGAGTCACTCTAATTTTTGGGAATCAAATCAGTCAACCAGTCGCTAAAGTCAAACGAGTCAGTCAACCAGTCATCTCGAAAAGTCAATCGACTCAATCCAATCAACTCAAAATACGCGCTGAATCAAATCAATCAAATCAATCGACTTGATTGGTATACAACCCTGGTTGTATAACGGCATGCTGGAGCCTGGAAGCTACCTAATCGATATTGTTGTGGAGATAACTTGTGACAATAGTTCTACTACACTGCATGGTGAACATTCATTTTCGTAAATCAGCTCAACTAGCTAGAACGATGTGAGAAGCCCCTCACTTTCTTCATCAAAGTTTGGATATTCTTATTCTGTAAGACATCGCCAGCAGCATGCATGGACAACCCACCCCTAGGAGTGCGGGCGCGTACATGTCTATCTACGCTCCAAGGGGCCGTGGCTTCTCGCGCGCCGCCCACCTTGGCACGCTTGGCCTCCGTCTTGGACTTGCAGCAGAACTCCGTGAGCGCCACAGCCATGGCCAGCACCAGGCCCGCAATCAGGATGTAGAAGATGCCGGCCACGTTGCTGAGCAGCATCTCGCTGGCCTTCGACTCCTGACGAGAGATGGGTGGATACGTTAGGGGGAGAGCGACAATAGTTATGGAGAGCAAACTGTGCTTAGATATCCGCTCCACTACCGAGCACAGAAAGCAGCATTACTCTAAAATAAACTCACACATGACACGGCTTCAAGCTTCAACGCCCACTAACTGCCCTGTAAATGCAACTGTGTAGCCGGCTGTACCGGTCAGGCCCGTCAATACGTACGACAGTCTCGAGCGATCCTCACCTCAACCTCCTTACACTCGGATTTGGTCGACTACCCTCTCGTTACCTACGACAGAGTCTCGAGCGATTCTCACCTCAACCTCCTTACACTCGGAGTTGGTCGACCACCCCCTCGTTACCTACTTAGAGTCTCGAGCGATTCTCACCTCAACCTCCTTGCACTCGGAGTTGGTCGACCACCACTTGTTCTCTAGCTTGGCCAGCTCTCCGTAGTCAATTAGCCGCAACACGGCGATGTTGATGGCATCCCTAGAAAGGACAAACATACGGTGCTTTGTTATAAGGGAGATATTATCTAACTTATAATCCACGGCTTTGGTTCGAGCAGTGTGTCAAACTCAAACGTGGTTCTTTGTAAGAGCTACAATTCGGATTTCAGATCACTCACATTTTAGCAGCATGCATCATGTGATGCTCGAAACAGATTGTCATTCAATACGTGTGTTTATGCAGTGAGTTCGTGGAAACTGTGAATGCGCGGGTCACTTGATATCTCTTTCAGTCCACTGGTGACTGCAAATTCCCGGTTTCCTCGAACTCGCAGCAGTAAATGTATCACCCAGTTAGGCACAAATACCGAGTGGGGACTGCGTTAGACTTTGTTTATCTTCTGTGAACACAGCGTTAAAGCTAAAGCCCCGGGAGTAGGTACAGAGTCAGCCACTAAGTGAAAAACTCGGTACGTTCAGCGCTGTCCAGGTCATATACCCTTTTAAAGCATCACGAGGCTTGGTATAAACTTAATGAAACTGACTTTGCCGGAAACTTTGAGCATAAATAAGAACTAGTTCATAGCTTACTTGAGATATTCAAAGACTCTTTATGAATATTATATCGTCGTAAATGCAAGACATAAATGTAGTTGGTCTAAAAACCCATCTGCTATGATAAGCTTTGCAGACGAACTTCATCAAAGGAGCAAAGTATGCTCAACCAAAATTTATTTCATTTCCAACCAGGACATCACACCACAAGCTGCACACTCTATGTTATAATTGAAGATGTTACAGACCGTCTCAGTGTTCCACTCACAGTGGGGCGCACAGTGGCCCGATCGCCACTGCTGCTGCGAGAGTCCCATACCTCCACGGAGAGTCCAGTGGCGTGGCCACGCCGTAGCCCTTGGAGTCGAGGTTCTGGCCGACCTTCATCGTGTCACACGGCTGCCGGCCGTTGACGTACTCGTTGGTGGTCGACTCCACCAGCAGAGCGTACTTGCCCTGCAGGCATAGGCCAGGTCAGATGAAGATCATAGACGCAGGGGCACGGCTCAGAGTATGGTGAGATAGTGCATTTTGTTACCGTCTAGGGCGCAGCGATGCGGGCTGGCTGGCTGATGTGAATCGCCGATGCTGTTGCGACACTTCTTTTTGACTGTTTCTAAGGACGTACAATTGTCGACGCTTGGATCATTCATAATTTGAAAAGGTGTTATTTAGTACCAAATAACAATCGTAATTGTTATAAGCCTTGAAACTGGTGCAGCTAATCGTGATTGGGACAACATTCTCACAATAAAGGGATATTCCATGATCAAATGACATTCAATGCAACACCAACCCAATCAATCGACAACCCTAAAGCCAAGGGATGCCTCGGCATGTGGTATTCGTAAGTACCGCTATTGCATCGCAGTTGCGCGTTGGTTGGTTCATGATTTGTTGGATTGGTCTGCACTCGCCGAGTACGGCATATGGCGTGTCGCTCACCTTGGAGTTGCGCACCCTCTCGATGCCCTCACGGTACGTCTGGACGAACACGTGCTCGTTGGAAGACATGAAGTCCCACATCCGCTGATACACGCCCAGCTTGGAGTTCTGCGGCACAGGGAGTCGCTGTATCAGGTGTTGTCGGCGTCGGGATAATCACAGAGAGGCATGCTGGAAAGTAGGAATGATTGTATCGAGGCTGACGGAAAATACTGGGCTAAGAATCAGCTCTAGAAACCGATGTTCCTTCATGTATTTTGTTTCTTCCGACGCAAGGCATCTGTGGTTGAAGTATTCCCCTCATTATTAAATCTTAAATTTATCGAGTATCAGTGGACGACTGGATTAGCAGTGTTTGTTGAGCAGGGGCATAACGAACAACACATATGTAATCTGCGCACAATGCACATGTTTCATTGCCTTAGCAATTACACACAATTGGGAATAAGTTCTATATTGCACCAACTTCATATTGCGTGTGAACAAGAAAAGATAAAAATATGTTGAGCAATTTCGGCAGCGACAAAACGCTTTCCTGCATGCCATTGCCTACACAGCATCCCATCATCCATTGAGACAGGGTGAGGGTCAGAGTTCCGACCGCTGGTGGTTACCGGTATAAAGCTAGTTGATAAGGTGACTGACTACAGAAATAATGTCCGTGCATCAGGCTCAGAGTTTTGCAATTATCTTGTCACCTTAACGACACATTTCTGGAAATTAAGCCCTGAATGGTAAAATCGAGACAGAAATTCAAGACTAAGACTTCCCCGGTGGATGCAGGAGCTCAGTCTTCGAACGTTTAACTAGATCAGTCACGCCTGTCTGTATACGCTGTAGGTTGGTGAGGCTAAACTGAGATTTTGGGGAAATGATACCGGCGATGTTTGTACTTACTTACCTACCGGTCTAAGAATCGACGGCTTTGGTATCGAGATCTAGTTGGTAGTCTGCACCAATTGACTTTTCGGCTTGTATGACAGGATTTAAAGCTCTGATGTCAAGCTTTGGTTTGGTGTTAAAATTCTGGGAAAACCTGATCGAGCCTACGAACATTCGGACGACAGCATTCAAAGTCATTCGGAGGATGGATGCCTCGAGCTTTTATTTGTTGTAGGAGACACGCGTCCCGACTATCGATATCAGGGTTTTGAGTTACCTGCTGAGAAGGGAAAGGATCTCTTGATGATGCTCGTGGCATACCTACAGTCTACACTGCCACCTACTGCAATCTTTGGAGCATTTCCCTTCCTCACTTTTTTCTTCTCTCCCATCTCTATCACTCTTTCTCCTCTCTCTCTCCCTCTCTCTCCTTCTCCCTCCTTTCCTCCTCTCTCCTCTCTTTATCTCCAAGCACAGAACCAAATATTGAAGCTCTGATCCACTCTGATTCTACCCAGCAATGCTTGCCGCCGCTCAGGGAAGCAAAGTTCCGTGGTCAGGATAAACGTAAGGACACAACGTTACGGTTGGTACACACACTATCAAAGCCAATGCTGCGGAACCACACAAACGCCCGGCTCGACCAAGTTCTGATCGCCCGCCGACCACAAAACCGAGCCGACGATCTGAGCTCGCGGACCGCCGCTGAGAGCCAGCGACTTCTGCCCGGCGGGACCACTGAGTGGTCTCGAGACCTCGACACTCCCACCCGACAATTAATGAGTGACCCCGGCCGGTGGCCGCCGCTCCCGTGCAGAGTTTGGCGAGCGCGCGGTGGAATTTATTTGCCGTCTGCGCCGCGGTGCTGGAGGCGATGATGAATTGTTCGTTAATGACCTCAGTCGGGCTGGCAGCGAAAGGGCGGGAGAGGTGCACATTACGGCGACGAGCTGGTCTGGACGTGCAGGTGCATTGCGATCAACCCAAATAGCCCTGACTAAACCAGGACTAGGGCTGCATGCCGCAGACCAGAGCACGGGGAGATATTCGAGACGGTGGTGGATAGGCCGTAGATAAGTTCAAGATAAGTGGATATAGGTTGGGTGGGGATACGCTGCTGAAATATCTTGTTGTTTTATAAAACTGATGAGATTGATATCATAATTGCAGATGTGTGAATATATATATATATATATATATATATATATATATATATATATATATATATATATATATATATATATATATATATATATATATATATATATATATATATATATATATATATATATATATATATATATATGTTACGGGTCATATGCTAACATGGGCAGTATGCAAACTACCCGGGCAGTATGCATACTACCCAACAGCCCGGGCAGTATGCATACCGCCCGGGTAGTATGCATACTACCCGACCCCTTGGGCAGTATGCATACCGCCCGGGCAGTATGCATACCTCCCGGGTAGTATGCATACTACCCACCTCTCTTCTCACGGGCAAGATGTTTACTCGGGCAGTATGTTGACCACACTTCGTGAGGCTTGTTAATGCATGATAACTCGCGTATTATATATGTGGATGACAGACGTTTTAACCCGCGCCGTGCTGGTGACCTGCACTTTCCGCCAAGTGACTTATAACGGAGAGGTCGCATAATTGACCTGACCTTAGGTCACAGACATGAAAAATCCGAGATATAGATTATATACATACTGTTACTCATATCAATCGCTGAAAGTTTCAAAGTGATCGTTCAGTCGGTGTAGCTATAACGAGCCTTTGAACTTTTTCTGAGGTAAGGTCATTTGACGTGACCTGATGACCTGACCTTGAACGACCCGAGTCTGAAATTTTCACATGTGCGGAAATGATGTATGAACAGGTTGCGCCGTCGTTTTTGAAATATTCGCAAAAACCCTGAGGGGGGGGGCGTTTTTACGCCCCCCCCCCCCTCAGCACGGCGCGGGTTAAGAAGTAATCCGACTTGGTGACTGATCAAATAATGAACAAAGCTACGTCCTATGACTCTTGCTGTGTATATCATTTTTGTGCAATCTCGTCCTTTGTTTGATATTTAGTTAACCCGGCACCGCCTGGGCTATTTCCGTACCCACGACAGCCTGGGGGGGGGGGGGGGGGGGGGGGGTCGGATCCGACCCCCCCCCCCTGTTATCTCGAGAACCAATGGTCGTATCGAGCCCCGCGAGGCGGCGTTCGAAAGGTCTCTACGAGACCTTCCCGAAGCACTCTTAAGATTTTAAGATTGAGGTCAACTTTCGGGTCAAGGTCAGGTTAAAGGTCAAATTCAGGGGTTTTGCATGATTAGGCTTACGGACAGCAGAATCGATAGCTGCTGCTCGAAACTCACCACAAATGACCTCAAAGACCTAGTGAAGGTACCATGTGCGAATAGGGGTCATACTAAGTACGGGTCAAGGTCAGGTCAGGTCACGAAAGGTCACGGTTTTCTTTTTCTGCTACATGGACGTGCGACACATGTTTTATGGCTTATTTTTCACGCCAAATCCGATGGTAATGGTTATATGTGACCCCAAGTCACTGTGCTGGTGATAAGTGTGCATTGAAAGGATAAAAAATCGTTTATACCATACATAACTAAACGAGGGCTAAGAAAAAAGTCAATTTTTCAACTTTTTATTTTTGACATAAAAATTCACTTTTCTAGACGAGCTTTGTCCCAGGAATCTAGTGGTGCCATTTGTTTTCACATGCGATGTTCAGAAGTGCCTCTAATTCGCGAAAATGTTTATGACGTCACCATGACCTATGAATGTTGGAGCTATTTTTTTACAATTTGGGGGTCAAAAATCAAGATAGAAAGTTGAAATTTGGGACATCTAATGTTTAAATAGAGCTCTATAACATATATTCCGTTTTTTGGAAATTCTCAAAATTTTGGATTTTATTAGGTGTTTTCCAAAAAAATATAGTTTTTTGAATTTTTGGGGGTAAAAAACGCATTTTATGGAAAATTCGAGATAGCCATTTTAAAGAACTCGTTGAGCTGCGTCTTTTCATGTCCTTAATTTGCAATTTACTTAAAACTCGATTTTTTACGATTTTTTAAACATTTACCATTTGTTTACTGAAAACGCCATGAAGTTACATCACTAAAATCGATATATCTCAAAATCTTTTGAAATTTTTTTCTTAAAAATTGCACAGGAGATGTCAAATTGATGGGGGAGAAGGTATGCCAAGTTTCAAGTTGAGAGCGCAAGCGGTTCATGAGTTATTCAAGAAAAACGGAGGGGGGTCGGATCCGACCCCCCCAGGCGGTCGCGGGTTAAAGGGACTATCCCACCTTCTAAAATGTTGTTAAAACCAGTTAAATTGTGCCCGACTTTATAGATTGGATGACCAGGAACACGGTTCTGGCATTTATTTTCATTAAACATCTTAGGCTTCCCATATTCCAAACACAAACTTTCAAATATGTGACGTCACAGCCCAAAATTACCTCCTTCCCCAGGCCACATTACTGTCATAAAGCTGATTCTTTTTACTCTGTAGGCACCACAACAAAGTTCAGACCAAGTTTTAAGCGATTTTTCAACGAACAAACCCATTTAAATCAGAATGACTAAGCGAGGTGACGTCACACTAACGGTCGCTCCATGTTGAAGATAGGGCCTTGCACAAGGCCCATTTTCAAATGAAGGGAACGAATTTCTTCAACGCCAAGAGGCGCGGGGGTTGCAACCTAGATAGATAGTGGTTTCTGAACCTCGCCGCAAACTTGGCTATCTCAACTCAAACCCCATGTTAAAGGTGGGATAGTCCCTTTAATATTTTAGATAGCTAAGCCGTTGCTTGTATTTGATACAATCCTATTCTTATATCGCATGAAACATACTTTAGGTGCGATGAAATGTTTCCTTATTACTTTTCCTTATCGTTTCCTCTTTTCTTATTTCAACACATCAAGGTAAGCATGTCTCTTCATTTATCATTACAACGAGTGCTCTTATGGCATCTTGACGAGCATTTATTCAACAATGGAATTTGGAAAAAGTAATTTCAAGATTTAATTCCAATCCTCTTTCCATCCTACAATCGAACAATCACGTTTGACGGTAAAAATTATTTTCGGTTGATCTATTGTTACCCAGAGAGCCATTTATATTCGTAACGTGGACATAGATTACACAACTTAAAGTCGGAAAGCGGTCAGTATGCAAACTGCCCAAGCTTTTGGGCGGTATGCATACTGCCCAAGGGGTCGGGTAGTATGCATACTACCCGGGCGGTATGCATACTGCCCGGGCTGTTGGGTAGTATGCATACTGCCCGGGTAGTTTGCATACTGCCCAAGTTAGCATATGACCCGTAACATATATACCGGGTGGCCCAGAAAAAACGTTCCGAACTTTGGAGGCCTATATATCAAATTCGAGTGCAAATAACGAGCCAAAACTTTCATCAAGTTTGCGTCATTTCTTTGCGCATTGGTATGCCAATTCATAACACTATACCATCATTTTAAAGCTGGCAATCTTGAGTTGAATTAAGTAAGACGTTTTTGCTTTTTTTGCCGATGTCAAACGATAGTGATGATTGGGTTAGACGTCCCATGCTATAAAAAAGAAAAAATAGAGCACGTGAATGAAACCAACACGTATGTAAATATTTTTGTCTCACTTATGTGCCAAATATTCAAATACTGAGCCAAAATGGTGCTCATGGATGCCATTCGTTTCAACACCAAATCATCTTTCGAACAGGAGTGGCACGGTGCATGGATTACTGCTGAATGCTGATAACCCTCCTTTCAGTAGATCAGACAGTAAATCGACCGGATAAGGAAAACAAACTAAAGCAGACCATGGTTCCTGTACCAAAAGACCACATAATAGCTTATGAAAAACAACATTGCCAGCGATGACAAAAAAAAACTCGTTGAAAAGCTGCATTTTCCCAGGAATGTCAGCCAGGAAAGCATTTGAGCCACAAGATGGTTAGAAAACTGGAAACTTCTTCCGATGCCGCTGGCACAGAGCCATCGTGGTTGCCTGAGGGAATGTGTCATCCTGAGACCCGAACCATCAATGAGGCTAGCTGCCAGTAGCAGTCATGTCTCTAGGCCGCGGTGCCGCGGGGTGAAAGTGACCCGTTCACTCACATTTTTGAGTAAACATCGGAGCAAAAAAGTAATTTTTACATGGCATGCTTGAAACACGAACCGTTTAAAAAGTAATTTACCGAACACCCTGAAAATCACACCATTTACTGAAAATGTGTGCCGCATTGACTACTCGAAGTTTCAATGTTGTATCTTTATCACTTTCTGAGAAATATTGATTTAAAGTTGGGAACGTTTTTTCTGGGCCACCTGGTATGCGTACGCTTTTTAGACCCAATTTGGACGTATGACTCATGCGTACGAATAGGGAAAAATATGTTTGCCGAGAAAAAAAAATGAGAACATGAATAACGTAAAAATGAGAGCAGTAAGGTCATATGCCATAGCCTTCGTTTCTGCAACGCCTATAATCTGTCTAAATTAGTACCTATAGTTTTATGTATGATACAATGCAAAATCATTTTAAACACTGAACAGTTCAAAGACTTTCCATTCAAGTGCAGGTCTAAAATGTAACCAATTTATTAAAAAGATGTAAGCAAAGATGTAAGAGAGAGAGAGAGAGAGAGAGAGAGAGAGAGAGAGAGAGAGAGAGAGAGAGAGAGAGAGAGAGAGAGAGAGAGAGAGAGAGAGAGAGAGAGAGAGAGAGAGAGAGAGAGAGAGGGAGGGAGGGAGAGAGGGAGAGAGAGAGAAAGAGGGAAAGAGGGAGAGAGGGGAAGAGAGAAATATTGAAAAGAACATTATTCTTTAAATAAAGTGGCGCCGTTTTATACATTTCAACAAAACTTTACGGTTTTGTATGAATAAACGATTTTTCTTTTTACATCTGAAGGGAAAACTGAGTTCTATGAGAATTTATGGCTGATTTACTTATATACCACAGTTAAATCTCAGACCGCAGACACACTTACACACAGTGTGCCTTGGAACTGATTTTTTTTTTTGCAATCAAACGGAAAACAAAAGCGGCAAAAATAATCATCTCGTCTATTCATAAGAATTGAAATGTATAGTTAATGGTATGCTGGTCGAGGGACAAGTTCGGGGCAAGTTAGCTGTATAGTTCATCAGTTGACCATTGTCAATTGCAATCGTGTGACCGATTCAAACTTCATTTATATTTACTTTGCCGCAACATATCAAGTAAAAGCGAATTCATTTCATATCTTGATTTACTCGTAGCGTCGAAATGCCGTTCAGACACCAATTGCACCAGACCACAGATGACAGGAGTCCGTCCCTCGCACACTGCGCTGTGCGGCGTGCGCGTGCTGGATGGTTGAAGCCGTCACCCCCCTCATCATCCTGACAGGGGGGGGGGGGCGTGCCGCTGCCAACAACAAGTACGGCGTCTGGCAGCGCGGCCAGCTGCTCAGCGCTGGCCGCCGTATCTATTACTGAGCTCTCGCGTCCCAACAGAGTAGAGAGGCCTCTTCAGCGGCAGATGACGACGGTAGGGCAAAAACGACGAGCGGTGCCGAGCGGTGGACAGATCGGTAGAAACGCGCTGCAGAGCTGATCGGTCGAGATGTGATCAGTTGATCAGAGACGTGCATTTTGTGCATCTAGACGACACACCAGCGCTTTATGAGATTACCTACCTAACTAGTCCAGCCGGTCAGTTACACTACTAGAGTTACTGGAGCTAGCCCTGTGGAGCTGAGTCCCGGTTTGTGATGGTTTATTCTATCTATCCTGTCTCCCATGTCCCCTGTTCCCGCTCCCACCGTGTCCTGCCCACGGCACTCCCCAGGACTAACCTTGAAGAAGTCGGTGGTGGCGCCGGCTCGCATTGTGCCGTACTCGACGTCACTCTGAGAGGCCAGCTCCTCCACCGAGTTAATCGGAGTGACGAGCCTCTCGACGGTGAGGAAGGCGGCCAGGTTGGCCGTGTACGAGGAGACCAGGATCAGGCAGAAGAACCACCAGCACGCGCCCACCAGGCGGCCGGAGATCGAGCTGACGAGCGGTGCGCAGACGTCAGGCGTCACAGCACAAAACATCAACTGACCCTAGCGTCAGCCGTCAGCCAAGCACACTGCGCAGCATCAGCATACAGCGTCAGAGCACAGCGTCAAAACATAACCTTCCCAGAAGAGTGTCACGTAAGAAAAATCAAAGTGACGAAATTGAACTGCGAATGGCATGCGTTGTTCGATTTCTGATCATTAACTTTTTGCCCCACAGAGGAGAGGGTTACTATGATGATGTTTCCTTACATGCATTTAAACAGTTGTTCATAATCTCTCAAAGCACATCAAACCGCTTTGGCATTTTCAGTTTACAAAATGTGAACCCTGTTTTGGCTGACACCAATGGCATTTTGACACCAATGCATGGCATTTTGACGTTCCTCTGCCAGATCCAACCCAAATCGGCTAGAAGTGCCTCCCTGCTGCTCACCGTGGACTGATGTCGCTGCCCTGTTTCAGCAGCGAGCCGAGCACGAACCACAGGCTGTTGTAGATGGTGAACTCGTTGGTGACGGCCGTGCCCAGCACGGTCTCCTCCAGCCGCCACTCGTACGGCGAGAAACGCGACACCAGGAACAGCACGATCGAGACGCCGAAGTAGGCAAACACGACGCACAGCCAGATCTCGCGGCTGAACGGGTTCAGGAACGAGAAGAAGCCTGCCGATGATGAGAGCGCCGCTGATGAGAGGATTCCTCGAACCGGCCTCGGAAGTTGCAGACAGCTGCGTTCGCAGAATCATCTCACGAAACCGGGAAGGTATTTCGATATCATCTTAATTTCCCCGTCGCTGTCGAATCTATACTTTAATTTGATTTACAAAATGTCCACGAAAACGTTTGCGTCACCGGAGACCCACAGGCTACCGGAAGTGATAAAGGCTTTCACAGTAATCCGACACGATAAGAGGCCATGTAAAATGAACGTAAAATGTTAATTATTTATTACGTTTAGGACATACCAACAAACCCAAAAATTTGGAGTTGTTTTGATATCAAATGTGTAAATGATACCAAGGCTCATGATAGCTGAAAGTTATACATCTGTCGACGATGCAATTGGGGTTACATGTAACTCTCACACAATGTATTACCCATTTACATCAACAACTTCACACACCCTACCTGGATTTTTCCTTATTGGTTTCTTGATCATGATGGAGATTCCCAGCGTCATAAAGGGCTTGGTGAAGAAGACCGCCTGCTCTCTTCGAAGGCTGATAGAGAGGGGTGCGATCGCCATGTCGGCCTCCTGCGGAACATCACGGAGACGGCTTCTTGGAGATACTGCCCGGTCTGACAGCTCTTACGTATTTGGCTTCGAGTTTCATTGCTAGGCCTAATTGGGGATCTCACATTTAGTTTTATTTATTATGAAGCCTCGATTGCTACCACTTTTAGTATGAGCATGACTGACCTTTACCACAACTCGTAATGAAAATGTCATTCTGTCACCTTTGGCGTAATTACGATGTTACGCACGAGTCCGCCCCTGTCAGTGCCCAATTTAACACCATCTCGATGATACGGTCGAGTTCCTCCCTGATGTGAACTTTGGCTCTTGTCATCGAGCGTCGAGGGATTTCATTAAAGACGCCTACTCTCACATTCTGTTCAGAGCTAATTTGCGATTTAAATATCCCCCAGAAGAGCCAATAACATGTTGATCTCGGGACAGAATGCCACTCAACAGCTTGGCTCCACCAGGATGGTAGTGACTTGTGTTGTCGCTGAATGCAAAGAATGCTTCAATGACCTCGGGAGATAGTTTTAAAGTTGAAGTTTTAGCAAACGCAGCATCCACGTACACGCTAGGGATACACGACTTTTAAAAGTTGTATTGCTTACGACGTTTTATTCATTTGCATAGACACGCATGGTACGCGATATTTTGATATTCTGGGCCGATATTGTGATGCACGTCTGTCCCTCAGGTATAACAGGGGGGGGGGGGCATATCGTCTGATCTGAGCCTGCACAATATTCAATATAGTTTTAAGCTTTATCATGCGATCTACTATTTAACCTATTACCTATATCGATTTCTAGAAGTGTGTGTTGATCAATGAACAATTCACCGTCCTAAAAACCCACGCAAAAAGTGTATGATTCTCAATTGAATTTACCAGATTGACAATTACGTGTACACAAAAATTCACAACCTTCAGCAGACTTCCAAGCTTAGTGATAAGAACGCAGGCGGAACGGACGCGGACAGGTACAGTCTTCCGTCTTCGAGTTTTCAATTGCAAATTTAAGAAATAATTTCAACTCTTTCAAGATGAAGTAAGTAAACAAATTTTCCTTGACATGGCAGCACTATGATATGCTAGTAAACTGCTATATTTTCTTTTGTAATAACTGATAATTGCTCTTCACAAAGTGTCAGCAAGTGTCCGTGAGCTTTCCGTCTGCGGTCCGGATGCGGTCAGCGTGCGGCGACATTCCTGACGGACTCCGGACGGAATTCCGTCACAGTGGACGGCGGCCTTTACTCCTTCTGCTCTATAGAGCAGAACAAGCTAGATATGAGGCGATTTTAACACGGCCGTGCATGCGATCATTTTTTTTTGCGCCGGCGGTTTTCCTACAAGGGGCATTTTTTACAGTGTATGCATGACACTGCGTCGAGGTGTTGAAGCGTCGTTGGGCGTGTCACCGCCGTCTCCTCCCCACTCACCCGTCTGACCAGCTCGCCGATGATGCCGTCCCAGTTGCCCTCCACCGAAGTGTTGACTGCTCCGTAGCGTTTGTCCTTCACCAGTCGCATCTCATCTGCGACAGAGACGACAGACGCCGCTATAACCAGAGACAAAACTTGCCGCCAGCAGCTGTCCGAGACAGTTGACGGCCGACAAACGCTGGCGCCCGAAAGGATGATGGTTACACGCGCGAAGAGCAAACAATAGATTTGGATTGAACTCGCGCACTATATAAAATGATATAAATTAGAGGACTGCTATTGACAGCGAAACTTACACTGAAATAAAATTCCACAGCAATTGTGCATTAAGTTTGCTCACTTTCCGCAGATTCTCGTGGTCGATCAGTGTCAAAGTGTAAAAAAGTGCTATTTGTACTAACGTCAGTCGTCACAATAGTATTGCGATACTCTGATGCTGCCAAGAAGTGTCCCGGATCATTGCCATTTGCATTGCAACACTGAACGACTATGTTCTGCATATCGAGGATAATTTATCTATTCAACTGACAAGAATAGGTTCAGAAGGCGGCATCCCTTACGCGGTCAGACAGGCGGGAGGCATCCCCTGGATATTTTCCTTGTGTCCGGTCGCGATGGAAAAAAATACTACCGTAAAGGAATGTCGTCTTCGCTTCTACGTTCGGTCCGTTTCAAAACAACGCGAATAGCCAAAGCTTTGCGATTAGCCTGGATCAATCCACAGCAATCCATAGCGAAGATGGTAAACAATAGCTCAGAGACTGGCGTTCAGGAAATTGGCGTCCAGTTGACTGGCTCTGTTGGGTCGCTCACTGCTCAGCCTCCGTATGTTTAGGGCCACCCTCCTCCTCTGCGTAAAGCATCGCCTATGGCCGGGAACGTTGAGTATGCGTGGGCACACGAGGCGGAGGATAGGCAATGACGATGTCCATAGGTTTACGAGTTTTGTCCGACATTTGCTAGAGATGCATGGATAAAAAAGAAAAAGGTACGAGAATTACATCACCACCCGTCACTAATGGGAGTACAATTTCATACATTTTAAACTTAAGTACATAATTGTTATACATCGAAATTAATAACTGCCGTAGTCTGAGCGAATCTCACTAGGCCTTGCATCGTAATCATACGCACCAAGAGACATAACATCATAAATACTCACATGTAAAGCCGATCTCTTTTGCCAGCAGATCCGCCAGGTCTTTACAGTAGCCCACCAGCAGATCATTTCCGGTTTTGTTAATGGCATCCTCTCCTTTCAACTGCATGATAAAAGGTGGTTCCTGCGAACGGTACAGCGAAGCTCAGCCAGTGACGGTCTGGTCGCACAGACGGTATCAAAACATGTGTCGGCTGATGTCTGCCAGCCCAGTCCCGTGGTCCAATAATTCTGTTTTCTTCTGTTGCGCCATTGCTGCTTTGACGGCAGATTTAACTTACCCGATTAGATTTGCATATGGGGATGTAAACAGGTTTCTGGTCGTCTGGGGAATTTGAAAACCATTTTGATGCGAGAATTCTTGAGATGTTTCATTTTACACTCATATTTATCGTCGTCGACGATGAAGTGCAAAAAGCTCCTTTTGTGCGAAAAACGCACATAAGGTGTAGATATCGGGACCAGAAAAACATTTGACCCCATTAAACACATAGGGCCAATCGTATAGACATACCTCGATTGTTGTGATGATGATGGTGTTGTTTTTCGTCCTGATGCCCTGCTGCACCTGTTTCGGTTGAACTGGAGTCGAGCTGAAACCGTATACGTCCGACCACACACCGACCTGGAATGTGAATAAAGTAATGTGTCGACACACATTGGTAGCAATTTAAGAATTCGGAAATGGACATGGTTTGCTATCTTTCTCAAATGTTGGACGTAAGCGATAGCGAATGGATGATTACTAATCAATCATGCAAAACAAGAAGGAGTTTTTGGCTATCATCCCCCAGCGACCTTCGTGAATGTCTAATGACGAAAATTCATCGTTTCAGCCTTCAGGTAAGCGTCAGTTAAGTATCCACATTTGATGAAGTATTTAAATATATATTACATTTTTCCCAAAATGTGAAAAGATGCTGACCCCAGCTCCTTAAGTCTCCTCTACTCTCTCTCTCTCTGTTTCAGAGTTCTTTTATATTTCCGTGCAGTCAATCTATCGGTGATGCGCTCAATCAGGATTCGGCATGAGGACTATCAAAGTTCCGACGGAGCTGCGAACAGATCTGTGTCCCAACTGATCCGGCTTTGCACTGTCTGGGCAACCCACAACCATAAAGCTGGCTGATGATCATACCGATCATTGTACGACCTTGACCTGCACAAGCTAAAGGCACGAGAAATACCGAGGTCCACCCAGCGTGCCTGGGCGCTCACCCAGAAAAAGAAGCACAATTTGACGGCACAATACACATTATCATGATTACTTCAGGAGTCCCTCGCGCTGGCATTGTCAGTTTACCAAGGTTCATTATTCACCTTAATGCATCCGTCTTTATTTATTCAAGCATCCATACCGCGAATCTGCTCTTATCTCTTGAGGAGGCGAGCCATTAGCGATTTGCCGCATGTGCCAATCGCAGGTCCATTAAACAGATGGTTCCGGCGCGGCCGCGGCTGTCTCGCGGCCGGCCAAGTTGCGCCGCGCCGCGAACTTGGGTCACCTGGCCTCTGACAGGCTGTCGTGCCGGCTCTCCCGCCGCCCGCTACAGATCATCGATCGACCCCAGCTATTCTCAGCGGCCGCCCTGCAAAGCCGGCCGTGCCCAAACCCCGGCGGTCACCGTCTCCCCAATGTGTACAGACAGCGGCCGGGCGCCGATCACGGTCTGTCTCGTTGTTGCTGTTTTTTATCGCTCCTTTTTGCGCAGCTATGTGCTGGCTATGTGTGCCAGAGGAGAGGTCATTGCACTGGCCGGCGCAGGACACAGAGAGCTGATGTGGTTAGAAGTTAAGACTGAATGCCATGTGTTCCTGTCACAGCAGTAGAAGTGGGTAAAGTGATCCGCTCTCCTGCGTCAACCGTGGATGAGGAGGGAAAGTACCTACTTATCAGAGAAGTTGTTGTTGTTGTTGTTTTGGTTTAGGGCGCGTAGCAGCTTGGCTCTTGCGTCCAACACTTATCAGAGAAGCGTAGAAGCCTTAGGTTTAAATATCGCTTTTTAACGTCCTTGTACTGAAATGTTTGAAATGTACAGCTTTCTATCAAGTGCTACTGATCTGACCATCAGCAAATTGTGCGCGGATGGTGCTGTCTCTCAGGCATCTGACAGTCACAGGTGTTAGAGTTTTCAATAATTATTTTTGTTGGTTAGCGAGAAACATTGGCTGTCAGGATGATATCCCCGTAGCACCCAGCATTTGGCTTTGACGACTTCCCAGTAAGTGAGTATTGTTACATTTGATATTCACACAGAGACCCTTGGAGCGTTGAGAGCCGCCTGTGTCTGTCAGATTATACCTTTCCACGAGAGCATTGACTTCAGTAAGAGCTTTCAAACTGAAATTGATGTTCAGGCGACTATGTCCTTACGAATATTACGCCGTCAAATTTACGAAACAATTTCTTACGTTTTCACCGTACAGATAAGCGTAATGCTACTGAGCATTCGCTTTATTTGGTAACCATTTTGCGATAATCTAGTTAAAGCCTTACGCCTGATTCACGAATTACTCAACAGTTGACTCAGCAGATAAGTGGACAGTGGCTACGCATTGACACATTTAGCAGCATCTTAACAAATGGGTATGCGATTTGACATATTAGGAAGCAAGCAAGGTTATGGTTCTAATTCAATGCATCTTCAATTCAAGTCTTCAATGTCATTAAAATATCCTTTTGTAAAAGACACCAATATGTGTCATTTTTTTCGCGCATTCAGCAGAAGCGTAATATCATATTGAACACTGGTGTTGTGGGTCAACAAAGTTCTTGCTTGGAAGTGCGCCTGTTATTCTCAGGCCTCCGAGAAGCTCAAGTGTTCTGAGATATGGATTAACTTGGCGGCCGCACCCGGGCCGAATACGTAATGTCCTCCCAAGGCCGCAGGCGGCAGCCGACTGTGGAAAACGGCTGTTTGCTTTTGTGGATGACGATCTATACAGGGTTGAAATTTTTAACACGATAATGTGCCACATTTGATCGTTTTTATTTATGTTCTGTTTTCTGGGCAGTTTCAAAAACATGATTGGTCCAAGCGTATGTAGACGTTATGTCTGTACTCTGTACCTTACTGCATGTGGGTTTATATAAAAGACACTACGGTTCCCAAGTCAGAATGAACAGTACCTTGACAGGGCGGCTGTTGGCTGACATCTCGACCACGTCTAGAGTGTAGTCCTTCCTCTTGCCCTCGTGGGAGAAGCTGATGTTACCAGTGATACCTTCGATTTCAATCTGCAATGGAAGTGCCAAACACTGAGGCTAGCTTGGAACAGCCAATCATGGAAACACAAATGAAATCATTTGTGTGGGGATGTATGTAATGCATAATGTTTGAGCAGAAAACTATACTAAGCAATCAACGAAAATCAATAACCCATTATCGTGCCTTCACCAGAGAACGACTACAACTGCAGCGCTGCCCACCCCCGGACTCACCTTGCGCAGCTGTTTCATGATCTTTCCGCCGTGTTCGTATCCAGTGACGTCAGAGAAGCCCTGCGAGCAGTTGAACACGCGGCCCTCGACGACGTTGGCGGCGCTGGGGCTGCCGGGCGGCTGCGGCAGCTTCAGCCGGCGCTGGTGGAGCTGCAGCAGCTCGGGCCATAGCTGGCGCAGCGCCTCAGTGATGACGAGTACGGAGTCGTACATTAGGGCCGTCTGAGCCTGTGGGGGACGACAGAGCGTGTCGTCTGAGCCTTAGATCGACATCGACTGACGCGATCGATTCAAATAGTCTTGTTTACATCATGTGCAACGAAAACCAACCGGGAACTTCTCGCGCATCGAACCGTTATTGAGTGACACTAGAGTCAAGCGAACGCTCTAAAATTGTGTGCCTTCCTTCCGTCTTCCGCCTGCCGAAGACCCATACGTCACTGTCCACTGTTCACCCTCAGAGCTCTAAATACTTATCGCTGTCAAGCCAGCCGCCTTCAACAAACAACCGAGCGCACCACCCCTGCCCGACTCCCACTCCTTCGTCTTCCTCAGCGCGGTGACATCTTCGTCTTCGTGTCCAGCGCGGGGGCGGGACCGGAGGACGGCGGACGCGCCGGTCAGTGAGATGTGTCCTCTCGCCGCGCGCCCGGGGCATCATTTGTCCTGAGGGCCCATTTGTACGTCCGCCGCCGGCGCGGCAGCGGCCCGGTACGTCCGGCGGTGCTGGCGACGTGTCAAGCGCTCTCCAGCGAGTGTGGTGAAGACCTGGCTTATCGATTGATGAGGATGGATTGTGTGTTGAAGCTACAGTAAAGATAAAGATGTAGTGAATGCATTGTGCGTTCGTTGCACTATCTGTCAGTAGGTAGTTGCTCCATTCGATGCTGGCAATGCCCCCATGCTGATGTTTTTGTTTCTGGACGTGTGTTTGTTCTTGCTTGGGTGCGCGCGCGTGTGTTTTGTGCGTGTGAACAAACTCTATTGAAGCTGACTGAGGGAGGCTTCCATTATCAACGGTTTTCAACTGAACACTTCGTCTCGGATCAGCACACATCTTGTCGCTTGGATCAGAAACTTCTGACCCTCGACCTCAAGAAACTTGGCAGGAAAGATTAAGGCGGTGGCTCGAGAGCAGGTAGGCGGCTAAATATAATGAGAGCGGTCTCACTTTGTCGAGGGAACTGCGATATTTCGCTGGTTTGACTCAAAGCCACTGCCAGGCGACATTTACTCGTATACCGGCAGGGTCATTTGATACTTCCACAATGAACCTTGACCTATCTAATAAATTTATCATGAGTTTCGTCATGCCTAGGTTTCGAAAACGTAACGGTACGCTGGAAACGTTCTGTCAACAGACATACTAGCATAGTCACGGTGTTCTTTATTTGTTCAGGTAAACGTAGTTGCAGTCAAGTTACCAAATCCCGGCGCCCCTTCCCCTCCCGCTCCCCCAGGTAGCCGCCAGCGCCGACGGCCAGCGGCGTAACTCACCGATAGGAGTCGGTCCATGCCAGCCTGGCCACTCCAGCGCTGCAGAATGGCCTGCACCTGAGGTCGGCGCGGGTCAACCAGGCGCAGGCCGGTGACATTGAGCGCGCCGTATTCCGGAGTGCTGTTGTCCCACTCCTCGTCCATCACCTGGTGGTGCGGGGCAGATAGTATCGGTCACCGGCCGCCGTTCCGCGGCTCGTTTGCCGCCGTCCAGCCGAGAAACTTGGCCACTTTACTCATGCTGACACGACAAAGTTGGCGCCGCACATCACCACGAGACGAGCCGCCGGGCGACGGCCGGCGAGTGGCGCTAGAGCGAATGGAAACGATAGATAACGCGATTCGACGAAATGGGGGAACGACGATCGGACGATTTGTCAATGGGCTGCACTCGAGCGGCCCAGCACCTGTTGGACGCCTGCAGCTCTGAATCAAACACGGTGTGAACAAGATCGGTTGGCCAACTTTGGACGGAGGGGCTGAATGGACGGGCACCCACCAGGCCGCTGAGAAGGTAGTGGAAGTTGCGTCGGCCGAGATGCACGTCCTTGACGTGAGCGACGATCACGTCTTTGGCGAGACGAGCACTGCAGTCCAGGACGACCCGCTTCACCGACCATCTGAGGGAGGTGAGAGGGAAGCAGTGGTCATCTTGAAAACCAAAATGACGGTCATCATCGACTAATAGATGGGATGACGGACTGAAAATCGTGGTGGCAAAGGACAAAGTCTGTAAGATAGGTAACGGTTGACATTTGACAACATTTGCCCGGAGCTCTCTTTCTCTTTCTATCTCTCTCTCTCTCTCTCTCTCTTCTCTCTCTCCTCTTTCTCTCTCTCTCTCTCTCTCTCTCTCTCTCTCTCTCTCTCTCTCTCTCTCTCTCTCTCTCTCTCTCTCTCTCTCTCTCCCATTTTCCCTTCTCTCGTTCTTTCTCTCTCTCTCTCTTCCGACCCCTTCTTTCTTTCGTTCTCACCCATCCATTCACAAATACACCTCCATGCGTCCCATCTCTACTCTTTCCTGATCCCTCACGTTCTCTCTCCCCAGGGCCGTGGTCGAAGTCCGGAGAGCAATCGATGCTTGGTAAGCCTAGTGCCGAGCCGCGGTCCACTGTGGACGGACTGAAACGGTCCACTCTGGACGGGGTGGAACTCTCCACTGTGGACGAACTACAACTGACCACAGTGGACGGACTGAAACTCCCCACTGTGGATGGATTGAAAATGTCCACAGTGGGTGGGCACAGTGCGGACTGAAAATACATGTATGTATGTACTATGGACGGAGTGACAGAGTCCACTACATATGTAAGTGGAAGGGGACTGAAGGGGGACTGTATGGACCATGTATGGACTGTATGGACTGAAAAGTCCTCTGTGGACGAGCTGAAACGGTATGCCGTGGACGGGTTAACACAGTCTCTTTTGGGTAGTTGGGCGGCGTCGACGGATCTGAAATGCCGACGCTGAACAGTACGACGTAAACGGTTCACTATGCAGGTGCCATGTAGCTAGACTGTCATCGCATTGCAACAAGATATTTTGTTTCTAATGCATGCTCATTTATTATTGCATATCTTATAACTGAGGCGACAAGAAAATATAAAAAAACAACACAGACAAGTAAAAATATTAATTACTTAATTAATATTTTTACTATTTTAATTAAAAATAAAAATATTTGCTAATATTTTTTTTTGCGTAAAAATAGGATACCTATCATATGTTTACAGGAGCAAGTCAATAAGCAGAAATTTGTCTGGTCAGCAGTTACTTGTAATACAATTTTGCCTCCCGGTACTGAACCAAATCTGCATTGTTATGCATGACACTCGCAGCACCATCTGCAAAGGACTGCTGTTGTCTAAACTTCGTGCTGCCTTTATTGAATGAAATGGTCCACCATTAATTTCGTCACTATACCCTGGCGTCAGGCTGAAAGCACCCACTGTCGGGTTAATTGTAGCGATACGGCTGTTTGATGGCCATAAACAAAGATATGGCTCAGACTACACTCACAGTTAGAGTAACTGTCGGTGACGCGGTTCGTGGAAAATGCCTCTCTGTCGAAGGTAGGCGCCTTACCGGTTGAGAAGCTCCAGCTGTCTGAGGAAGGAGATGGCGTCCTCGACTTTGAAGATCCGGTGGGCGTGACGAACGCGTAGCGTCCCGTTACCAGGAGTGACGGACTGTAGCATCTGCTGAAGCCGATGTAAACCTGCCGAAATGTCAGAAATTTGCAAACGTGTCATGCGTTTCTTCATTAACAGTGACTTCAGGAACATTTTATTTCCTTACTTATGTCACCTTTTTATTTTGAAATATATTTCCTTTTGACCCTTTTGTTGACGTTCGTTTCATTCAAGTTGATCGAGGTCCCTCAGTCTTCACTTGCGCAGCACTATAAGGTGAATAAATCAAATCAAACGGAAAACCACACAGGGAACCGAATGACATTTAACCGTTTTATCATCCCTGCTCAATGTTCCATGGCTTCTTGTCTGAGCGGTGCCTGAGTGGCATTGTGTCCTACATTGAAAACAATTTAACCCAAGGCCGGCGAGTAAATCGGTGTTTCACGGGTACCCTATCCGCAACCATTTTTAACCACCCTCCCAGGAGTCCTAGGTCCCATGGCGGTGTAGTCGTACTTGCTCTGAGCGGATATAACCGCTGTCAGCGAACAAGTCCGCTGAGAGCAGGGACGAGTACTCCGCAATGGCACCTTACTGTACTCCTGGGAGGGTGGTTAAAAATGGTTGCGGATAGGGGTACTCGCGAAACACCGGTTTACTCGCCGGCCCTGGGTTAAATTGTTTTCAGTGTAGCTTCAAGGCCTTACGAAAAGTGGCCGGTGGGAAAAATCATTAACCATAACAGCAACACTATCCTTTTCGGGCAAACTAAGTTAGAGTTCATTCGCGAGATCACTAAAGGTTAGACTTGCTTATCAGAATTGGCATTGGCAATTGGCAAGAACAAAACTTCAATAGCCAAAACGGTATTTGTCATGTTTTAGTCATGGCATTTCTAAAAATAAATGTTGGGAATTTTCATTAGCAAGCCGCTTTGCTCAGTTAGATGCTCGATTTATTCTTCACCGTGAACTTTGCGTGTGAAAGAGTCCTACTTAGGTCAATATGCGTGTAGTTAACTGAATATAGTAGGCAAATGCATTATACGAACCAACCAGCCAGGCTGCTTCAAAGCCGCGGGTTTCAGAGGCTAGTTTTCCGTGTTCCATCGCGCCTCCTCTTTTTCACGTGTATTTTATCAGGCGGCGAGTGGTGCCGATGTTTAGACGGGCGCGGCGCAACTTGAGAGTTTTTATGATGTTCTAAAAGGCCTTTTAAAATGTCTGCTAGAGTCCCCGAGAAGATACGGCGGCCCGTCAGCGGCAGTAGGCCAGACTGCCGCGAGCCGCGCGCTCTGCGCCACACACGCGGTAAACAAACACCCATATACGGCCTACTCACCGACAGCCAACAGCCTTGTATAAACTTGGGCCTCCGCGGCTGGCGAGTGAGCGCGGCCACCGCCCCGCTGGGAAATGCATTCGGGCCGCACTCAGACCGACGTAAATGTGAGATCAATGCTACCTTTAATCTAGACTAGAGGCTTTCCCGTAATGGCATTGCCCGAATATTGCTGATAATGATTTGACTTTAGATGAATGCACCACAGCAATGCCCTTCGGGGACCACTTTTGGGAAATAAACACTCCCAGCCTATCGGGCTAAAAGCGTGTGTGCTATCGGCAGATAGCCTGCATAACAAGTAAGCGAGCATGTGTGCAGGACTATATAGGTAAATGAATGTGCACACATGTATCTAGATGCATAGACAGAGGATTGCATTAGCATTACTTAGATATAGGGAAATCCAAAGATAAAGTATGCGGCTATGTTTGCCTCTAACTAACCTTCAATAAACGAACATGTGGAGTCATCTATACTGTCATCAGAGTCACATAGGCTTATGACTCAGAGTCGCACAGAGTACAGTGCAGGTATATGACGTCACTCACCGTCCTCGGAGTCGTACAGGTAGATGACGTCACTCCCATCGTCCTCCAAATCGAACAAATAGATGACGTCACACTCACCGTCCTCGGAGTCGTACAGGTAGATGACGTCATCCCATCGGTAGTGGTTGATGATGTCCAGTACTGCCTGGTGGTACTCGGGCCGCATGCTCAGGGCATAGTCCAATGAGGTGGACATCTGACGCACCTGCCCGACCAGGGTCACTCCGGTTAGATAAATATTTGACGACAAAATGGTAAGAATATCTGTTTTCCCTTAACCCGCGCACCGACGGGGGTCTGCGCCAACTTCGCACCGACGGGGGGGGGGGCGGATGACCGCCCCCCCCCTGAGATCTCGAGAACGAAGCAAGATAGCGACAAGCGGTAAACGGCATCGGATACGCACGGACAAGGTCTACAATTTTTACAAAGGTCATTTTCAGGTCAGGTCAAAGATGACGTCACAGGGGTCAAAAAAGTCAAAATGGCGGCGCTAGATATGGAGAGTTTTTCTCGAATAACTTTCGAATCAGTCAAGATAGGAACAAACTAAGGGTATCATCGTGATCCTCTCGTCAATCCGCATCGAATAATATATATGTTGACCTCAAAAGGTCAAGGTCAAAGGTTGACCTCAGGTCACGTGACCTCGAAGTCATCATGCATATCATTCGATGCGTCTTGACGAGCTGAACATAATGAGACCATCCGCGCAGCTGTATCTTGTTCCTGTACGGAGTTATTGGCAAAAAACCTTTGGTGACCTTTGATGACGTCACATGACCTTACAGCTGCCCAACAGCAAAACAGACCTCAAGGTAGTGAAGGTTGATCGTATATGAAGTCATGTATGGTATATGGGGCCATTCCGACCCGTTTTAGTGGTAAAAACAGGGAGTTGATTTTCCCCCATTGACTTATAATGGGGAGGTCGCAAAATTGACCTGACCTTAGGTCACCGATATCAAAATTCCGAGATATAAAAATTGTAGCTACTAATGATCTCATAACATCCTGCGACTTTCAAAGGCCTCCGACATCTACTGCAGCTCTGGCACGGTGACAAAGTTGCAAAAAAGTGACTTGAGGTTGGGTCATTCAAAGTGACCTGGTGACCTGACCTTAAAAGTTAGGAGGTTCAAACTTGCACACCATGTGTAAAATTGATGAGAGAATAGTCATACCAAATTTTGCGGCGCTACGCGCCGCGGTTTTCCCGCTATCCGCGAAAACCCTCAGGGGGGCGGATATCCGCCCCCCGTCGTTGCGCGGGTTAAGATAGCGATAACGCCAAATGGCCATCGTCGCCGAGGCGTCCTCAAACCCAAACCAAATGATAGCGAAAACTTGGTGAAGGTGAAGGCTTATTTCACTTTTCAGTGTCATAACCATTTTTTTATACGAAATATATTGAGTCTAAAATCATGGATTGCTCCGTGTAAAAGCTATCTGAAATTGGTCAATGAGTGTTTACTGTTCAGTCTTAATTGCACAGATGTAACATAAAACATTTATTTAGTCATTGCTCTCAGGATCGTAGTACTTATGTTGTCCAATGCATTCAGTTTTTTTTTTCACAAAGATAACCGAGAGCTAATTAATTATCCTCTTGAGAATTACAAAGACCATTTCTAACCCTTGTCTAACTTCTCACGATACCACTGTTATCCCAGAACGGCCTTTGTACAGGAGATTAAGCCCAGGTCCTAAATCATCCATTCCGTCTTAAGCCACGGCTCGACTCCGCTCTGAACCGGGGTAGAGCGGGCGTTTTAGCCGACTGAGAGTGGGAGCGCTGTGCGGCCGATAGTCGGGACCATTTGTCCTATCGACGCGCGCCAGCCGGCACTGGGGGGCGGCCGAGTGGCCTACTGAAGCCGCCGGCGGCCCACCCATCACGGAGCGGCGAGCGGCGCCGTTCGGTGGGCCCCAGACCGCAGACCGGGAGACCGGGCTCGGCCCGGCCCGGCTCGGCCCGGCCCGGCCCGAACCGGCCCGGCCCGTCTCAGCCGCCGTCCTGCTGGCTGAAAATCACATACCCACAGGGAGCAGCCAGACACGCAGTCGTGTAGGTGTGGCCGCATAAAACAACGCTGGATGGGCGGGGTGGAGGAAGGGACGGGACGGGAGCGGCCAATCCTGGTCTGTGTCGACGGAGGAGAACAGCAACAGGTGTCCACTGACCACTGCTGTCCGGAGAGGGCAATAGGAAGGTAACGAACCAAGAAGGCAAAGGAGCGAGCTGGTAGCGGAACCAAATGTGCGGTAAAAGTGGTCGGTATGGAGGATGACGTGCCTTGTGTCATTTATTCTTTATGCATTATCTATTTCTGTAATGTTAGTCCGAATGATTAAGTGGCTGGTCTGGCTGCCTAAGGACCAGTGTCCCCAAAGCAAATGATCCCCATTGCAATATCACTCAACCTTACCCTGGCCTTCTTCCCCGTTCCATGTTCATGACTGCACAGCGCGTCGTCCGCTTTATCAACAAATCTACTAAAACTTCCACACAGAGAGCAAATAAAACGTCCTTTAGATTATATTTTGCCAAACCAATTGACTTCATAGTTCATACATTACTTCCTCACCTTTTTAGAGGGCATCGATGTCCCGGCAAACATCTAAGCCGCTCGACACGGGAAGATCGTTTCATGTCTGAGGAATCGGAAGCCCTGATGTGCTCGATTGGTGACCTTTTAGTGAGCCTCGGTCACGGACCTCCGTCACGAAGAGGCGCAGCACTGACCTTCTGTGGAAACCAAGGAGCGACGAACGGCATCTGAAACGTGTTGGCGTAGGAGTGCAGCGTGTCGAAGGCGTCCGGGTTGACGTAGCCCAGCATCAGGTGCACCCCCAGCGAGAACACCTTGTCGCAGACTGAAAACAGGAGGAGGGGTGTGCTTGTCAGCGGGGCAAATACAGCTGGATTGATACATGTAGGCAGAGTGGACATATGTTTGCGTGGGAAATGCATTCATATGGTAAAAAAATGTTAAAAAAGATTGCTATTTGCTTATAATATTTTTCTATTCGTTTTCCGAAAATTGTGCAATCAATTGTCAAGATACCATCACGGTCTGTAAGGAGAGTAAGCAGCCCAAGCGAGCTACCCTGGCCTTTCCCTGCAGCTGCTGAGTGCCGGCCGCTTTATCGTCCGGCCGTCCGGGCGCACAGGTAACCAAATATTGACACCGGCGCGTGCCGCGAGCGGCAGCTCAACCGAGCCCGCCTGGGGGCCTGGCCGCCCATCGGCTAGGTCACAGGCTCCAGGACGGCCGTAAACAACTCTGTTTCAATTTCGGCGCCTCGGCCGTGCCGGGTATGGGCAGCGTTACGAGCGGCAGCGGCGACAGAAGCGGCGCGGCGCGCGCCACCAACACACCCTAATGCGGAGCGATGGCGCCAATTATGGCGCGCGAGTGCGCCGCGCCGGAACCGTCGCCGGCCGCCGGCGGTCCGGACAAGTCTGCATAAACAGGCAGTGTGCGGGTCGGTTCGTCGGGTCGCTGCAACAAGGACTTCTGATAGGTGGTCGGATGATGAGCTCGGTGGGTGCTTGGGAGGTTGTGAGCTACGCTCTTGCTGGTGAGTGGGTTTTGAGTGGGTGATGTCGAAATCAAAACAGGACCGTAGTTAAATTGAATGCGCTTAACTGGATCATGAAATTATAAGCCACTTCTGTGATGTGTAGGATGAGACTTAACAGAAAAACACTTTGTGAAACAACCAGGGATGCGGAGCCGTGGAAATTTCAGACGGCTCCGGCTCCGGCTCCGGCTCCGGAGAAAAAAATCGGCTCCGGCTCCGGCTCCGGCTCCGGGTGAAATGTTATGACGGCTCCGGCTCCGGCTCCGGCTCCGAGTAAAATGGTCCGGCTCCGGCGGCTCCGGCTCCGGCGGCTCCGGCTCCGACTCAGTACATCCCCTACGCAATCAATTAAATACGGGTGGAAGAAAAATTGGATTGGTTATACGCGTTACTCTTTGCCATGACCGGCTCACCGCGTCCCCGCGCAAACGCACCTCGGAGAGAACTGGCAGAACAAAGGGCTAGGAAGCGATGGCATTGGAAACGCAGTCGCCGCGAATCGGAGTTCAGTGAACCATCGTAAGCTGACACCCGTCTCGGCTGCATTGGGGGGTGAGGGGTGGGGGGGGGATGAGACGGTGCTGGGAGTCGCAGTCCACTGCACTGGTTTGAAAACAATGGCCGTCACCTGATGACTGGTCCTCATGTTCAGGGGATGCAGTAGACGTGGGGGGGGGGGGGAAGAGCAAACAGGAAGTTGTTTGCGTACTGTGGGATACTGGGGATATTCGGATTTTTTCATTCACTTGATGGCCCATGACGTAAGTACCATATGTTTTACTGCCTTGTACTGTCAAACCGAACTAGGTCAATTATTTTTTTTCCTCTTCAAAAAATAAAAAGGAGCCGGAGTCGCCCCCTTTTTTGGCGGCTCCGGCTCCGGCTCCGGCTCCGGGCTATATTGTTTCACGGCTCCGGCTCCGGCTCCGGCTCCGGGCAAAATATGCCGGCTCCGGCGGCTCCGGCTCCGACTCCGGCTCCGGCTCCGCATCCCTGGAAACAACCCATAGCGGAGACTGGAGGAGGAAAATGCTTTTTTATCAAGACGACCAAACTTTTCCTTGTCCTAAAACCACAGTTCGAACAGATGGGTGTGCAGCGCAGCGATGACGCTGCTAGCGCTGTAGATATGTTTCTATGAAAAATGTGACGTGACCATGTGTAACCACTCCTGTTTCACATCCATTGGAAGGTGCGTAGGCTCTACTTTTATCGCGGTCATCCGAAAACACGCGAGAAGAACACGACCATGCCGTCCACAATGATTCTGCGCTGATTAGACCCCACAGCAGATGAGGCCGTTGGTATTCTCTGGGGCGTCGGTGGAGGACTGATTCGACGCGATAAATTTCTACTCATGTCTGGTTTATTGGCCCGTCGGAAATGAAAGTTCATATTCTGATGTGCAGGGAAGGCGTTACAGTTTTAAAGTCTTGACCAATGGCAAGGTCTCGAATCTTGCATTTCGTAAGTGGGAAGCCCTAAAACAGGAGACATTGCATTTAATTATTCATGTAATATTCAATGAAAAAGTTTTCACCTCAGCAACAGTTGCCAACTGATCTCTCCATAATCGTGCAACCAGTCACTCACAGGGCTGGTGCAGGCGGCTCACAAGACAGGGAGGGAGAGGGAGGGGGCGGGCAGGGGAGCATTTCACGATGGGGATAGCCACGCACGGGATGCGAGGAGGCACGGTCGGGGGCACAAAGCACAAGGCTGATAGTACTCGTCCCAGCTTCGCCGGGACGTTTATTGCTTATGCGTTATCTTTGAGGTCGTTTCGTTTAATTTCAATGTTGAGTTATGCTGATGTTCAATAGACACCTCTTGATAGACACTCGGCAGCCCTTTCTATCACCTCGCTTGACCTATTTCGATCGGCCCATCAAATGACCTCACCCAATGGCTCTCCGCTAAGAGTCGCGTCTCTTTGACCAGCTTCATAAATCTTTCCGGCAATTCTGCGGTGGTGGCGCGCGGCGCTCTTAATTTGTCTTAGGCAACTCGGTTTGGTCTCAGAGCGTCGGGTGCCATCCCGGGCTGGAAGTCGGCCCCAGAGAGTCATCGAGTGGCTGGAGTGGACCTAATCCGGTCAGCAGGCCGCCCAAACACCGTGCCCCCGGCGACAAAGGTCGACGGTGGACGACGGCGCCCTCTGCTCCGTCACACGGCTGAGCCGGACGCTCCGTCACACGGCTGAGCCGGACGACAATAGATACCGACATAGGCATGGCATGTTGTGTAAGACCTGATCGGCGCGTCGGTACGTGGGTGGTGCTGTGCTCAGATGGATGCTTGCATCGGAGCCGAAAGACTGTCTGGTTTGAAGGTCATGAGCAGGTTAAATGCATGCCTACAATAGACATTCGACAGGAAGGTGGGTACCACTGCTAGCGTAAATAATGACAAAATGGACTGGCGGATCCAGGGGGAGGGGCATTTGGGGCAAATATCCCATCTCCGCGGCACCTGAAATTGACCAAATTTCACGTTGTTTTAAACAAAAAAAAAGTGATTTGTTTTGAACTGCACAGCAGTGCGCGTGAAAACGAAATCCGAGGAGTTTTTTTTTATTTATAGAAAACTGTTTCGGAGAAGCTTGTTGTTCATGTCCATAGCCCGCATCGTCCAAGCCCACCTTTCTATATCCACGAGTAACCCATTTTATTTTCATTCTACTGATTGTTTTAGCATATACATTCTGTCCACCTTGCACTAATTTGTAACCGGTAAAGGCTTGTAGGTAAATAAGGACAAAAGTGTCAAGTAACATTAAAAAACGCCGTTCTTTTTTTAATGAATTACAGTTACAAACCAGTAACCACCTTCAAATTTTCCTGTAAACCTAGGTAAAATCAGCACCAGCAGCAAGCATTCTGCGTCAGATTAGGTTTCATTGACTTTGGCGTCATTTTCCACCGAAGATATAATGTTGGCACGATCATCATCGACCGGTTTTTAGAGAAAACATCGTCTGTTTTCGTGCGTTGGCGTCTGCTCCCAAATGGACCTCGGCGGCCATAGGCTCTGCCCAGATTGTTTGCGCTGGCAGCGATAGCTCCTATAGTCAGCTTATCCAGCTTTTGTCCACTGACTTCAAACCAACGGTCCGGTCTACTCCTCACCAATATGAGGGCTTCCAGCCTAACTGAAATGGTTTCATCCCGGCTCCAATATAGCCGCTGGACGCTGACTGACGTCTGCAAAGGAAGGACTGTAGGTCAGAATGACTCGAGTCTTCAGACAATGGATGACGTCACCCGACTGACGCCCATTCATCGTTTGGCCTTCAGAAACTTTCAGCGACGCCTGGGCGGTACGCATCAGAGCCCTTATTTGTGGAACGTTTATGAAGTTCTGGTTACAGAGACCCAGAATATTTAAGAGTTGTGATCGTATATGAAATGAGCCCTTATCGATACCTCTTTATCAACATCAACACTTATGCATTGTCACAAGCCTCACGATATTCCCATTTACCCCTGTATCTGCTTTCTAAGCTATTCTTTTAAAACCCCTAACTTTCAGTCAATAAAAGCCACTTTTGCTTTAGCGCGTTAAAGTGCCATAAAACTTGTAGTGCAAAGGTCACTTCATGTTTCTTATAAGAATCCTCCACTCTCATAACCTTTTTTGTCGCATATTTCCTTGTGGACACTTCCCGCAGTCTTACATGGAGATGTGTAGTTCCTTGAGTGCCCTACTCAATTCACATTATCCCATTCTGCTCGCTGCAGATTGCAACTATATTCATCTTTATGTCATGCCTTATTAGGATAGTGTTGAGCAGCACTTAAATTTATCAATAAGAATAATACACTGTTGCATAGCAGACGCTACACTGGGTTCCAGAAGCATTGTCAGCACTGGCACCGGACGCTTCAGCGAACGTGGTGGTGGCCACTGGCCAATGCAGTGGTGAACTTTAGCTCTGGAAGTCTCGGTGACGACTGTCAGCTGTCATATTCAAGGCAGATTCATGTCTGTTTTGGGTTCATTCCGAGACATGTTGGCTGTATTAGGGAGACAGAATGACTCCGTAAAGGCCAGCAAGAGACCTCACGTCGCAAGCTTTCTGTAGCAGCGCGGTGCGTCAAAGCAGTGGGTAGGTATACTGCACCGCTGAACTACCGAGGCTTGCGGTACAGTCTACCTCCCAGGTTTCATTCCGAGCCAGGGCGCGCATGCTTCTGCTCGTCGGCTGTTTCAGATTTTCTTGCGGAAGCGATGGAAATATGCAGTTTATATTTTGTGAGGTAGGTCAACGTTCCGACAATTCTTTTGAT